CTTTGCTGGGGACACACCAGTCATCTGCCTCTGAAGTTGCTTGATAATGCTTATAGGCGGACTTGTTGAATACTGGGAGTTTTTCTACTGAATCTGTTGAGAGGGCCTGAAAAAAAAAAAAACAAAAAACCACACACAAAAAAACAAGAATTACTTTATTGGACAAGGGATAAAAAGGTGATAGCCATGTTGGTCTAAAAAGTACAAGCAGCCAGTGGGGTAGAGGCAATATACAATAGAAGATACAGCCTCTACTACACTGAATTTATTGAACAATGTCTTTTAAATCACTACTCCAGGACAATAATGGTTCTCAGTATATCATGTAAAAGGAATAACAGGTACCTTGTGCATGTATTACATATAAGTATTAAGGTTCAAGTTCTGAGCCACTGAAACAGTGATATAGGAAAAAAACCCACTCTGTTGCTATTCATCTTTGTAAATTGTTTTCTAGTTCATCTGTGAAAAGCCATATACGTGATGAGGTTTTATAGGCCTTGAACCTTTTTGTAGCCAGTCTGTCTACTGCAAGATAGAACTTATTTGATAGTCTAAAAATCAAGAAACCTTTTTGCAACAAAAATATTTTTAGACTCTCCCGTTTCACATTTGCAAATACAATAATTTGTACTAGGGAAGATGTTTACACTCAAGTGGACAATATTTTCTCAAGTGGAACACTTCCGCACTATACCATTTCCTAGATTGTCTTTTGATGCAATATATAAACTTTATTTTTAGTTAGTTAATCTAAAGATCCAAAAGAAGTTCCTTTTAGAAGAAGACAGATTACCAGCTTTACAGTATTTTAGGATTACTTTTAGAAACCTAATGTACAAGACTGGACTCTTCTGAACTTGTACTAATATTCTGAAGTATTTAAAAATTTTGGTTGAGTTTGGCATCCATGCAATGAATAATGAACAGAACAAGTTAATGTTATCTGTCAGCATTAGCTTCTATTAGCCTACAGAAACAGAAGTCTTGCTGCTGACCCCGACAGTGATGAAAATGAAAATCTGCTGCTCAAGTAAATTATGAGGGTGTTAAAAAAAAATTAACAGCAGGGAACACTGATGACAGAACTGTTGAATGCACCCATTGTTCATGGCTGTAGAATAGTGTTGTGATCCAGTAAGTTATCACTGCACACAAAATAGTTCTATTCTGAAAATAGAGTTGCTTTCTGAAACACCCTTGTAGATGCTCTGTCTACCCAAACTTCTGGAACAAGAGCGCTAGCTAACTCTTACTCCTATTCCATAACTATAAAAACTTGTCCTAAATTTTAATTGAAAAATATTTCAGAAATACCGAGAAGCAAATTAGTTAAGTCCAGTTACATTTTTATCAATCAAAGGCCAAATCAGTCCTCAGGTTATAGAGATGCATGACAATGCAATGCTGTGTGGATAAGCCAAATAAGATGTGAACATGCTACTCTGCGTACCAGAACCTACGTTATGCGAAGTAGTACTGTGCAGATATATGCAAGCTAGCTCTGCACACACTTGTTCTGGAACCAGAAGCACCATAGCTGGGTTAGTGCTAGGTTGCATCCAGGTTAATGAACTCTGCTGAGAAGCACAGCGCTGCATTCAGGCTAAACAGTCATACTGCTCCTTGAGTCAATGTGTGCAGAGCTAGCCCAAGTATTTCTACATAGTGTTGTATAGCACCCTAATCACTTCAGAACCATACTTTAACTACGTAGACTTATCCCACTGAATTAATGTCATCAACAGAATTACTTTTTCCAACAAAACAAATGCATACCTTCAGGTAGATAACAGCATCTATTCCATAACCCGATATGGAGTACAGATTCAAGTTTCCTTGGAAGTATTTAGCATACAGACGAGAAATTGGTAAGCCATACCCAAAGCCAGCCTAGAAATACAAGGTACAGTAGAGTCAAGATTTCTTTTTCCACTAAGCAAATCTAAGCATCCTTCCAGTATCAGAGCTCAATACAACTGAGAAAGAAATCTCTTGTAAAATATTGGAATGCTATAAAAACCTGCATTAACCCATGTAATCTAGCACCTATGCAAGCAAGTCTGCAAGTGGGAGATTGTACATAAAAAGTGAAAGTGTTTAAATTAATTAACTTATTTTCTAGATCAGTCTTCTTCCTGCCACAAATTTGCAGACTGCTAGTGAGATAAGCTTAGAATTTTGCTGTTTGACATCTTAGTTTGGGAGTTTCATGCTTAGGGATTGTACCATGTAGCAAGTGCAAAAAAAGGTGAAGCAAATTGAGGTTCTTCTTAAATTTAGGAAAAGCCCTTTAAACATGCAAGGAGAAAGTAAATCCTTTCATCCAAAATGGTATTAAATTTTAAAATAAGCTCCCTGAAGTGAACAGGGAATACTGCATTAAAAAGGTAAGTTAGGAAGTGCTGCAGCCTGTTACTGTTTCTTTTCCAAGCAAGTGGGAATTTTCCAAGTTATAAAGTTTACTTGATATCTGGATACCTTGGCAAAGGTCTTACATTGAGTAAAATAGATGTGTGCAATTTAAGCTTAATACATAAGTTGTTATAATGCATGCCTTGAGGGACTCTACGATATCTTACCAGAGGAGCACTATGAGAATCATCCATCACTGGCCTTGGTGCTGTAGAATACAGGTAGCTAAACAGGCGCTCAACTTGCCTCACAGGAACACCGCCCCCTCTGTCAGAGATCTGATTTAAAGAGAAAGAAAAGTTGAGTACTTAGAGTACTAGGCCTTTGCGTAGTGGCTAGCATTTGCTTCGGATTCAGATTCGGCCAATTTCAATTACTGCCCCAAATCGATTTGGCTGCTGTCAAAAAATTGGCCGAGTCAAACATGACTGATTTCCCCCCCACCCCCCGCCATGGACATCCTGCCCAGTGTCGGGTTCTTTAAAAAAGCCCGGGGCTCACTGGCTGCTACCAGGCAGGGGGAGGCAAATCTCTGCTGCCCTTTGCTGCGTGGGAGGTGCTCTGCCATGAGCCCCATAAACCCTGACAGCCCTGCACTCACCAGCTGCTGCAGCAGTGGCCTTTAAAAAAGAGCCAGGAGCTGGGGCAGCTATTGATGGGGCTGGGAGAGTGAGCGGATGGAGGATGGGGGCTTGTGGCAGAGCCCCAAGCAACGCAGGACAGTAGGGGGCAGCAGGGATTAACCCCCCTGCCTGGCAGGAGCCAGTGAGTGGGGACTTTTTTTCTCTCCTCCCAAAAGAAGTGGGAT